GACACCGTCCGTCAAGCCATGGAAGCAGTTCTTGGGCCTTCTATCTTCGTTCTCGGTCGCTGGAGAAGAGACTGTGTGGAGCTTTCGAGATCCGCTGCCGCCAATCGCCACGCATGGCGAGGTACCGTTAGTGGCATCATTGAGGCCGGCTAGATCAGGCATGATCACAGCCGTAACAAGTACAAGTAAGGTAAGGATAGAACCGTCGCGTGGAATTAAATTAATATTGTGCGTGGTAGGGCGCCCGCCGATGTAGTTAGGGAACATGTTCCTGCCATTGTCCCTTGAAGCTCAGTCTAGGGCCCTCGCAGCTAGTGCGTAGCGACTAGTACTACATGATGGAGGAAAATAGGCAAAGAGAAGGGAAGCCGGATTAGAAATTTCCGGCTTATTAGCCGTCATCGGCCTGTCATACCCGACTCCAGGTGTGGATCACCTGAGGTTCGAAACCGCGACCCTTTGGTCGCGGAGTGTAGCATTATCATTGACCTACTCACCCGATCGCAACCGAGCGGATCAGACAATAAAGTAGTCCCTGTCCCGTCTGGAAGTTCGGGCTGTAAGCAGCCCGAGTTGCCTGTACGGCACCTTAGTTCGAGCCGTCATTCCGGTGGCAACAGCCTTCGCGATGACTAGCTGCCGGCAATCCACGTGAGAAGTTAAATTGCCTACCTGCTGTGGGGAGCAAGGTGGAGTGTCTGTGTCCCTGTCGCGTATAGCCTGCACGACGACTTCCGGGAAGCCTCGCACTTTCTCTGACCCTGCCACGACCCTGGCCTAACGACAGTTTTGTAATGACCGGTGTTTGAGGGCACCTCGATAGATATTCCTTGCAATGTATATCCCTCTGCTTCGTGCCGAATAGTTGCGTTTTAAGTCCAACAAAAGAGGCCAGGGCCTGGAAATAACGGGAAGCCTGAGGAGTCTGGCAAAACCGGTCGCTGAGCACCGGGCCAAAGTGGGATCGGTGCTGCCGCCAAGCCGGCATTAACTGCTGTCTGGTGGATTCTAGATTGTTTGCTTAGGAAATTCTGTTTGGACAGCCAGCTTGCTGTATCAGGATTGGTGGATTCCATACGTTGCAGTAGGCTGGACTGACCCAAGTGTAATCAAACTCACAGATCCCGATAGGAGTCTCGTAGCTCAGTTAGCTAGAGCGTTGGCTGTAACAAAACGTGCCCCTTGCTGGCACGGGTTCGAATCCCACCTCTGCCGCCGTGTTTTCAACAAGTGGATCAAATAAATCATTCAAATCTGTCAAGCCCCTCTATTATTATTGTTATTAAGGGGTCTCTTGAAAGCTCGCGCGGCAACCAGCCAATCCCACGTTAAGCGCAGTCAAGTGGACAAACCAAAACTCCATTCGTGCAAAGCTAACATGTTTCAAATCAGGACAGTGGTAAACATCAAGAGAAAGACAGAACACGTAGAAAAGTTGTCAGTATCAAACTACAATAGGTGGTGTCAAAAGTGCAGAGAAATCAGGCAAACAGACGGTTTGGTGTAATTCAACAATTCAGGCGACCCTTTTCTCGGACCGTCTGCACGTAGATGAGGAAGGACTCGTAGGGGACAGAGCAGACACCAGTTCTGGAGAGCCTGACCACGTCCTGAATAAAAAAAGGATGGAGGGGGGGGGAGAGGTTGAGAGATCGAGCTGATCAGGTCGACAATGGTAGGCGGGGCAGAAGGGTAGGTGATGTATTTCACTTACGGTGTATGTTTTCAGCGAGGCCGGATTAACCCCCTGCATCAGACCAGAGACGGGTTTTTCGGGCGCGACACCCAACGGCTCGAGCGAGGCGTAACCTAAATGAGAAACGACAGGAAAGAGCTGTGGAGGAACTAGCTTCGCGAGCTGCATGCGAACAAGAGGATTACAAAGGGAGTCTTCACCTGAACCCATATTATCGCCCTTAAAGGGAACACAAAGGCCCTTTGAATGTAAATTTATTATCTCATGAGACTTCGAAATGTGTCTTCGTTTCAAAAACCTGAGTTTATTAGGGTTTTAATAGTAATTTTCGTACAGTGTAATCCCAAGATATTTCCATCATGTCAGGATGTCTGTCTTTGAATGAACCTCTTACCGGATGCCCCTCGAAAGCGACACTATGTAAAAAAAAACGATTCCTTAGGTAAACTGAATTTTTTTCCAGCGATGTTCAATGCACCCATACATTCAAATATGTCTAATAGACCAAAGGCACAAAAATATACTTTCTTGCACTCATTTGATAGTGAATTGTGTCTTCTTAAAATTTTACATTTGAAGAAGGGGTAACTGTCGGTTTTAAAAAGTTTATAATTATGCGATGTTTTGAGACTTGCAGTTGGTCCTGCATAAACCATCGTATGCGTCTACTTAATGTGTAGACGACATGGTCCACGCCCATTATGCATGAGAAACATATGATGTCTTCCTATTAACATTAAGCGAAGTGCGTACCAGAAGTATGGTTTATATGAAATAGATCTAAGTTTACAAAGGCATTGAAAATAGATGAGAAAAGTCCATACCATATTTTACAGAGTGTTCCATCTTCAGGCGACTGGAAGTAAACTTTTCGAAAACCAAACAGATTTCAAAAGTTCGGTAAACGTTTCATGAGGAAGACCGCGACTACTGTGTACTGACGCCCTCTCCGGATCGAAATGATAATCTCATGCGAGAAAGCGCGCATACAATTCTCAGACCGTGGGACACCCAGTCCAAGAAATCGCGTTTTGGGTCTAAATACAGTCATCAGACAGCCATGCCTTAGTTCTGACAAAGGAAGACCTCACGCTCTTGCCTGATTTTCATTTTGTGTGGCGGAAACAACAGTTCTAGCCTATAACTGATAGTCCACGTACATAAGGCTCATCACTTCGTCGACTGAGATGTGGTAACTTGAACGGAATGTGAGTGCAGTCTAGGAGATTCACGGCAAACCTGTTTCCCCTCCAAACACTCGATCTTTGAGGGGCTCCAACGACAACATAGTATACAGGTGCAATGACAAATTTGGATATATCGTCCACGGATCCTGCTAGTCAGAGTTGTGGGTTCAAAGAAAAGGCAAATTTAGTGGTTTATTTCTTCTGGTTCAGTATATTTAAGGATAATAGGCATTGCCCTTAAAGATCCTAGTAAAATTAAAGAAGCATATTTACACTAAAATAGATATGTTACTATGAAATAGGGAGTAACATGGAGAAATTGTTTGCAAACGGGAGTCAAGCAAAGTCATCCTGAAGGATAATAGATTACATATGTCAAATAATGGACATCAACGTTATCTGTAGATATTAGCAGGGCGTTGGCATGTTGCAACAGATAAATTTTATCTATCAAATAAATATACGTCAAGTCTGATGGTAA